CTCAAACTGGACCTCTACTTTAGTTCTGTTGCTTCTTAGGCCTGTGATTCTCCTCTTGCTCCACCCTGATCTGTTACATCCTCATCCTGGGGTGTTTGGGGAGCGGGGAGGGCGGAGAGTGTTGACTGGGACGAGGCACAAGGGAGCCTTCTGGAAATCGTGTCTCGGCACATCTCATAGAAATATAATGCAAGCCGCATACGTAGTTTCACGTTTTCTGGTAGCCACATTAAAAAAGTGAAAAGAAATAGGTGAAATTAATTTTAATAATGTTTTCGTGAACCCAATATATCCAAACTATTACCATCTCAGCATGTGATTAATGTAAAATATTGCTAATGAGCTATTTTACAGTCTCTTTTTTCACATCGAGTCTTTGAACTCCCGTGCGTATATTACACTCGCATCATGCCTCGATTCCGACATCCCACTTTTTAAGTGTTCATTACAGCACTGAACAGCACGGTTCTCTATCTTGGGGTGGGTGGTAGTCACACGGGTGTAGACATATGTAAAATTTTGTCTAGCTGTGTGCCAGAGGCTTGTGCATGGCACTGTGAGTAAGTTACACTCCCTTTAAAGAGTTTTTTAAAAATCCTCTTCAGAGCTCTGCTCAAACGCCCTCGTGTCCCCCTGAAGCCTCCCTGGGCTGGAAAACCTCTACATGCGTCACACTGTGCTTCTGTTACATTCATTCCAGTCTTGTGCTTTGGCTGGTTGTTTCTGTGTATGTCCAAACGATTTTATTATAAGCGCCGTCAGGTGAAGATGGTGATTTGTTCTTTTTTTTTTTTTTAAACTCCCCAAAGGGCCACCGGCTTCATAGATGCTAAATAAGTAAGCTCAGTTGAATCGAACCCCCGTTGGCTCTACACCCCTCTCCGCAGGGCTGCAGGATGGACTGATCATTTGATTCTGTTCCCAGTCTTGTTCCAGACATTGACAAAGGAGAGGGAGAGGAAGAGGAGGAGGAAGATGGCACGGGGCCGTGTCTGCCGGTCACTCCCAAGAACTGCCTGCCTCGCCGGGGCATCAGCATCCTGGAGAAGCTCATCAAAACGTGCCCCGTGTGGCTGCAGCTGGGCCTGGGCCAGGCAGAGACAGCCAGGATCCTGCACCGGGAGGCGATTGGGGTAAGTCGGGGTCTCTTCATTTCGTGGCCGCTGGGCAGGTAACAGCCACAAGGAGCTGCTTAGCACCCCCACCCACGGAAGTGGATCCCGTTTGCTTACCTTTCCCAGGTGTATCGGCTTTTCAACCAGGGTGGTTTTCCCAGGATGCAGGAGCGGGGGATGTGGTGGCAAGGCTGGTTTCTGCTTTGGAGACCAGGTGTCCCCACTGGACAGCAGGGCAAATGTGGCTGGCATGGGCTTTCTGGACATTTTGAGAACTCAGCCAGGCATCCTGGGACTAGAAAATATCAGAACCAGGGGGACCTAGGAAATCATTTTCTACTCCCCTGTTTTACATGTGAAAACAAGGGGGCGTGTGATGGGGTCGAAAGATTTTTTGGAGTCGGGCTCTGTGAGGTGGGCAAGTGGCTTAAATTTTCTGAGTCTCACTTTTCTCACTTTGAAATGAGACCATTGGCAGCATCTTCCTCCCAGTAGTGTAAGCGTTCACTGGAGATGGGTGGGTAGATAAGGAGCAGTGAGTCAGAGCTCACCAAATGCCACCCCACCTCACCCCACCCCACCCCAGCCCACGCTTATTCTCTTACATGCTGCTTCCTTTAAAAAAAAAAAATAGTTAATTTGTTTAATTATAAAAGTGATGCACATATGTGTTCATTGTAAAAAAAAAAAAAAAAGTCAAGCTGAGCAGAAGTGACGAAGTAAAAAGTAAAACATCTTATCAAGGTCTTTGCCGACTGCTTTTCACCTAACCCACTTCCCACAAGTCTTTTTGTGTTTGTTTTTCACAAGGTGAAATTCACGTGACATAACGTTAGCCATTCTAAAGCGCAGGATTTAGTACATTCAGTATTGTGTAGCCGCCACCTCTATGTTCTTGTAAAATATGTCATCACCAGAATGATAAAACCCCTTGCCCGTAAAGTAGTCACTCCCCTCCCCGCTTCCCCGGGCCTCTGGCAGCCATCGTCTGCTCCCAGAAGTCATTTTTGCTAGAATGCATGATGTGCCTCTCCAGCCCTTTTCTGTGCAGAGTCCCATATCTGTGACAGCGAGCATTCGCTAAGCATTCACGATGTCCTGGCACTCGTCTAAGTCCTTCAGTGAATTAGCACAATTTATCCTCACAGCAGCCCTCTGGGGTAGGAATTACTATTACGCCCATTTTACAGATGAGGTAACCGAGATACAAAAGAGATACAAAGTTGAGTGACCCCCCCGCCCCCGCCCCACCAGGTGACACAGCTAGCGAGTGCCCCAGCTGGAATTTGAACCCAGGCGGTATGGGTGCACCTGCGTCGTATTGTACCCATGTTTTATTTGACACAGATGGATTTGTATCTTTCAGCCATTGGGCCTTTTTGCTGGTCTCACCAGTGTGGCATGGAGTCGTACACTGTGTCTGGGGAACAGTCCAGGCTCATGAACACAAGGGGCTCAGTTGGTCTGTTGTACCTGAAAACTGGAATTGCTAGAACTTACGGGGCCTCCAGCAAAGTCCGAGCCTCCCTTTGCCACAGGCCCCTGCCATAGGGAATGGGGACGGAGAGGCCTGAAGGCCCAGCAGAGCCCTGCCCGAGACCAGGGGAGGCCTCCTTTGGGTAGCGAGAGAGGCGCCCGGTGAGCCAGCCCAGCCTCAGAACCAGGCTGAGCCTGGGGGTCCACAGATGGACTCCAGGGGGTACACAGGGAGGTTGTAGTCCTCAAGAAAACAAGATGCTATTCTTCCCACCCAAAGGTTTTCAGTTTCCAGCGGTCTTAGGGCTTCAGAGCAGATGATGAAACTGTGTAGCAAATAAAATTTGGATTCATGCTATTCTTCCCACCAAAAGGTTTTCAGTTTTGAACGGTCTTAGGGCTTCAGAGCAGATGATGAAACTGTGTAGCAAATAAAATTTGGATTCACGTCGGCACTCCCAGCCTCGGCCTGGCCGGTCGGTCGTCCACTCCCTATTAGGTTCTGACGGGATCAATCACCTTCCCACCCCTCCTGGGAGGATGCAGCTCAAAAGTGGACCCAAGGGCAAGGTCCACGGAGCAAGGGGGCCATTTTCTGGACCTTTCTTGGTCAAGGAGGGGCATGTCCTGGGCACGTGTATAGCTAGGAGTGGATCAGACAGTGAGGACCTGTGCAGAGAGTAGGCAGGTGGATCTCTGGGGCAAGCTGGGCTGGGTGTAAGCCATGCCCGCTTCGTCAAAGGGTCAGTCCTTTCTTCAAACAGTGTAAGATAAGCCCAACTCAAAATAGGCACAGTGGTTTTACATGGAGGATGCTTATTAATGCCAGGCCCTGGTCCAAATGCTGTATGAGCGTCATGTCGTTTAATCCTCGCATTAACCCTTTGGAGCAGACTCTGCTATTATCCCAGAGAGCGAAAGTGAAGCTGAGACGCGTCCTACTTCGGGCTTCCCCAGAAGCAGACCTAAGACCAGGATCTGAGTGCAAGTGGTTTACTTGGGAGGTAACTCACAGGGGAAACCAGATGGGGAAGGGAAGGCAGCTGATGGAAGGTGTGTGACCGTGAACGTTACCCCTGCAGGCAGGTGGAGCTGAATCCTGCTGGGCACCGTGGGAGCCAGTGTAGAATACATATCTCAGGGTTTTATCACTGAGGGTGCAGGTGCTGGTATCATCCACCAACTCTTGGCAGCCATTGGTCCAAGGTTTGGGATGTGAGGATTCATGTTCCAGCACCTCCTCTCTGCCCTGAGTATGAGAAGACCTGACTCTGGCCAGAAACAGCCTGTGGGCAAAGAGAATGCTGAGCCGTGGGGTGACTGGGCGGACCTCCCGGAGGAGGCAGATGCTAAGCTGGGCTGTTCAGGATGGATGGGCAGGATTTGGATGCCCTGGGGAGCTGAGAGGGTCTGTTGGAGATGGCACGGCACAGGCCGAGCCCCTGAAGTGAGCGCGAGCTGGGCTGGGGCACACAGGGACGGAAGGCTGACCGGAGGAACTGGACCCAACCAGGTCGCTGGAGGGCAGGACCACGCTTCATTCCTCAACCTCGTGACGCCAGTGTCCACGCAGGCCTGGGCACAGAGGAGGTCTGGCTCTGATTGTTCATTGAACAAGTAAATAGAGGATGGCAGGGAGGGTGGGGCTGGTCCTGGGGAGCTGACGGAGCTAAGCCAGGTTGTTCAGCACCTTCGTGGGACATGAGGCAGAGACCACAGGGCATGGTTCATTTTCCAGGTGAGCACACGTTAGAGCCGGGCTTTAACCACAATCCCAGCCTCAGTGGCTGCAAGAGGCCCAGGGACCCCTTCATTCTTCTGCAGTCCAGGGGCTGAGGATAGAAAACAGAAAACTTCAGGCTGGGTCCTGAGGTGGCGCCCTTGTCCAGGGCCTTGAATCTGATCCCGAGAGTGAGGCTGCTGTAAAGACCAAAGTTGACTTCACGGAAGGAGGCCAGCCAGGCCCTTCCCCCTGCTGCCCACTCACTGCCCCCTCAGAGGCCGCCGGTGCTGGGTCAGCCCCGAGGACAACAGAATCGGAGCAGGTGCACCTTCTGTTACCTCCCCCACCCTCCCCATCGGCTTGTATTTTCAGGCAGAAGCAAAGCCCTAAGCTCATGCTCTGATTAAAAGATTGGCCAACTTTTACCTAAAGTTGCCTTTTGCATGATCTTATTGATCCTCGCAGTGATTTCTCTCAGGCAGGTGTTATTAGTGTCCCCATTTCCAGGTAAGGAAATGAAGACACAGAGAAGGTAGCTCACTTGCCTGAAGTCACAGAGCTGGTAAGAGCAGAGTCTGCGTGGTGTGATCTTCAGGGATGCTGCATAATGTCTCCCCCACAGAACTGTCTGAAATTCCACCAGTGCAATGGCTTCACTGTGTTTGTAAAGATACAGACACCGGGTGGCCCCCAGGCTGGGAGAGCTCATAGAGTCTTCGCAGATCACCTGGACCCACCCCTCCTGGCACCAATGAGAGACAGTGCTTCATTGTGTCCGGGGCCAATGGTCAAGAGACTGGGGATCCAGACCTTTCATCCTAAATATCTATGTGACTTTGACCTTGACCATGTCCCGCCCGCTCCATCACACCCCATCTCCCCTCCCTGTAGCCTGCTTCTCTGATAAGGCGTTGGGAACATATCGGCCCATTTTTGATTTGTGTGTATCCAGAAACAAGGCGATTAAAAAGCCACCTTTATTCATTCCATACCCAAGCAGTGTTTTTGTTTATTTTATTTTAGAAGTTTTAGACTTACAGAAAAGTTGCAAAGATGGTACAGAGAGTCCCTTCAGCCAGTTTCTCCATTGTTAATGTCCAACATTTGTAGAGCTCACTTGTCTGAGTTAATGAACCTACATCGATACATGAGTATCATCTAAAGCCCATACTTTACTCAGCTTCCCTTGGTTTGTCCTTTTTCTGTCCCAGGATCTCATCCAGGGCGCCATATTACATTTAGTCATCTTGTCTCTTTAGACCCCTCTTGGCTGTGACAGTTTTTCAGACGATCTTTGTTTCTGACCACCTTGACAGTTTCAAGGACTGGTCAGGTATTTTATAGAATGTCCCTCAGCCGGGATTGTTCGGATGGTTAGACCGGGGTTATCGGTTTCGGGGGGAAGACCACGGAGGCGAAGTGCCTTTCTCATTACATCGTACCACAGGTACATACTGTCAACAGACTTCCCGCCATTGATGTTGACCTTGGTCACCGGGCCGAGGCTGTGTTTGTCAGGTTCCTCCACGAAGAAAGTTACTCCTTTCCTCCCCTTTCCACATTGTTCTCTTTGGTAGGAAGTCACTATGCACAGCCCGCAGCTCGAGAGTGGGGAGTCATACTCCACCTCTTTGACTGAGTATGCACGTAAATTATTTGGAATTCTTCTGCACAAGAAATCTGCCTCTTCCCTCATTTATTGACTTATTCAGTCATTTACTTATATCAATAAGGACTCATAGATATTTATTTTATGCTTTGGGTTATAATCCAATACTACTATAATTATTTAGTTGCGTAGATTGTTCCAACTTTGGCTACCGGGAGCTCTTTGAGTTGGCTCCCATGTCCCTTTGACATACCCCCATCACTGTGTGTGTGTTTTGTTTGATTGTTTGATTTTTCTTACACTAGAAGACACTCCACCTTGTCTTGTATATTTCCTGCCCCCATCCTAGAATCAGCCATTTCTCCAAGACGCTTTGTTCCTTTTATTGGAGAATAATATTAGAAACCATGATCCGGGAACTATGTGTGTTCATTGCTTACTGGAGTGTCATTGCTTCTAGGCCAAAAGGTGGTTTTTAATGAAAAAAACTTCGTATAAGATTGCTTTTTGTAGTCGGGGATTAGCTCAAGAGTGGCAGGATCCTGAGATATGATATGGACCAGCTATGGAGGTGGTTCGAGGCACCTTCCCCAGGTATGAGCCTAAGGAATACCAATCCTATCCCATATTAGTTTGGCGAAAGCATCATGAAGCCCCTCTTTTGCCCCTTTGGGGGGCAGGGCCGGGGGAGAGGTGCAGTCTACAGTTCTTGCAGGTCTGCTGTGTGCAGGACGGTGCAGGCTCTCCATGTGAGAGTAAGAAAGTTCAACTCCGACGGTGAGGAGCCCGCCCTGAGTAATACTCAGTGGCGACACGGGCTTCGAACCCACCGACTGCCTGCCTTCGAGGGCTTTGCACAGCTCCAAGTCTTGGCTCATCTCTAGAAATGCTGATTTCCTTGGTTTGGAGTGGGGCTCAGGCTTCAGTATGTTTTAAAGCTGCCTAGGTGGTTCTGGTGTAGAGCCAGGATAGAGAAATTCTCTATGCCATGGCACAACTATATCGTAGGTGATGGGACAGCGGGCCACGTGTGTCCAGAGTGCGCTGCAGCCACTGGGCCACCGACTTCCTCTGTCATGGCAGCCTCTACACTAGTGGTCTCTGGGAAGAACTGGCCGCTTCTGTTCCTGCCCTAATGGGCATGATTGGAAAATTTCCCCCAAGCAACTGGAAAATAGTCCTAAAATAACAAAAGTGGAAAATGCAGACAGCTCGGGATTGTCCCGGCCAAAAATGGAGTGTAAAAACAAAACTATCCAGTAGGGGAAAAAAAAAAAAAAAACTACCCATTTCTAGTGTTTAGTTTGGGGATTTTATGTATTTATTTGGAGAGGAGGAAGGGAGGGCAGAGGCTGCATACTTCTCTCCCTGAGCATATTCAGTCCCAGCCGTTAGTGAAATCAGCTGGTCTTTCCAAACCCAGCCCCGGCTGAAGGTAGACAGAGAGGCTCCATGACCGACTGTCCCAGCCTCCTGGATTGCAATTACTTATCCATGAAACTAAGCTTTGTGCAAGCCTCTTGGGATCTGGGAAAGACCCCAGGGCAGTGATGCTGAGGGAGTGTCTTCTAGAAGGAAGGAGCCCTGGAACTTTCAGCCCCTGCCCCACCCCAATAGATTGGAAAAGTCATCTCAGAGAGGGGAAGTGACTTACCAAAGGACACAGCAAACCAGGGTCAGAAATAGGAGGGACACGAACTGTCTCCCTCACAGACAGTGCTTTGACTGCTAACCCACTGTCGATTTTTTTTGGAGGTGGCGGGGGTTGGACTCTTGGAGTGGGCATGCCCCCCGTCAGTTTGTACAATCGTGGGGAAAGGGTTCTTCTGTTTTCTGAGGGCTCCTCATCCAGTGCATTGGGAGAACTGACGAGAGCGGGAGGGAAAAGAGAGAGCAGAAAGAGCGGGCCGACTCGGACGACGCTTTTCCCATAGGGGAGAGAGGTCGAGTGAGGACGCAGGGCACAGCAAGGTCTGTTGATGGCCTGGCTAATCGGGGAAGTGGCGGATAGGGGGCCTCGCCGTGGGCATGACCGTGAACTTCTCCATTTGTAATAATCCTGGGTTGCCCATAGGCGAGTGTCCTGGAGGTGGACGAAGAAGGCCCCGATGCCTGGACGTGTCACCTCATGCTCCCCCGCTGCTCGTCTTGAGCTAATCTGTTCACTCAGGGCTGAGGTCCCAAGCCGCCGATGACGGTGTTTCTCCTTGTCCGGGGCTCCTGCTGCCCCACCGTGTTGCCTTTCTGACTCACGAAGCCATCACAAACAACTGAGGATAGGAATGCTACCTCTACAGTAGGGTGCTCTTCACCACTTGTCCCCAGGGCTCTGAGTGAGGCAGGTAGTGGGGCACCGGGGAAGGGAGGCGCCCTGTACTGAGTGCTTATTATATAGTAGGCACTCTACTGAAGTCATCTGTGCAGTTCTTCCAATAATCCTTTGAGGCAGTGGGTCATCTGGGAATGCTTTTTCCTTCAAGTAACAACAAACCCAACCTATGGTAACTTCCCTAGCAGCCTAAACGATAGGCTACTATTGTTTACCCAGTGAGGAATCTGGAGGTTGGGGCCCAGAGCTAATTTGGCAGCTCAGTGATGTTTTCAGGACCCAGGTCTTTTGCCCCATCTTCAAGGTGTTGGCTTTTTGTCCTTAGGTTTGTCACCTCATGGTAACAAAATGGCAGCTGCTGCTCCAGCCATCTCATCCATTCAAAGGCAAGAGGTCAGAGACAAAAGGCTTTCTTCTCCTAGGCTCAGCCTTTTTGTCAGGGAACAAATGTTTTTCTAGATGGCTTCTTGGCCACCCCTAACAGTGAGGCAGGCTGGGAAAGGGGGCGAATGGCGCGGGGGGCAGAATAACTGTGATCGGCTTTGATCAAACATGATTCATCTCCTGAGGCAGGGAACAATGTTCCCAGGTCCGAACTGGGGTCAGTTAGTAAGGAAAGAGGGGACTGGTTCTTGGGGAGCTAACTCTTAGTGACTATCACAGGCGGGAGCTATTATGATCCCATTTTGCAGAGGAAGCAGCAGTCCCAGAGAGGCCCCACAGCTAGGCAGCTAAGGACTGAACTCAAAGTCGGGCTCCAGAGCCTGCAGGCTAACGTCTTAAAAGGAAAGGCCCCAGGGCCCAGCATTCTGGATCTTCCCCTCCCCCACTGTTTTCTCCCCTGCACAGAGGATAAACTAGTCCAAATCCCAGGGAGGAGTTGCTGCGAGGGATCTAAAACCTCCACCTGGTGGCTGGCATATGGCACGTGCTTAGTTGACACTTGTGGTTCGATTGGGTTGGAAGACAGGTACTGCAATGGTCACAACCCTGGCCTGAAGGTCCTTGGCTTTGCACGCTTGTCCCGGCTCAGCCGCTAACAAGCGATGGGACCGCAGAAGGTCTTTTTGTACCTGGGTCTTTCTTTGGATGGAGTGAGGAGCTGGGCACATCACTGGCTTTGAACCTCACCCCCCAAGCTCTGGGGGCCCCTCAGCAGTACCTCATAGAAGGAAGGGAGGAGGGGGTACCCAAAGGATGAGGCCTCATATTCATATATCCCATGGCTATGCCATTACCTACTGTTGCATAACAAACCACTTCACGATTCAGTGGCTTCGAGCAGTCACCATTTGATTTGCTCACGATTCTGGAGGTCAGCAATTTGGGCGGCATTCTGCTGAGCGATGTCTTCTGCTGGTCTCTCCGAGGGTCAGTCACATAGCTGCAGTGATCTGGCAGCGTGACTAGAGCTGGCTGGCCTGAGATGGCCTCACCGACGTGTCTGGCGTTTGGTGCCAGCTGTTGGCCGGGCCATCCGACTCCAGCAGGCTCGCTCAGGCGTCTTCACATGAGAGCTATGGTCCTAAAGGGCCAGCATGGATGCTGGCGTGCCTCTTAAGGCCTGGGCCCAGAACTCCCCAGTGTCACTCCTGCTGCATTCTTTTGGTCAAAGCGAGTCTCAGGGCCGCCCTTCCCGGGGTGGGGAAGTAGACTCTACCTTTGAGTAGGAAATGCTGCCAAGGGTTTGTGGCCATTTTTAACCTACCATATAGCAAATGGTCTTTGAGTCCTTTTTTCCTATCTCTTCGTTTGAATACAGATCCACAATAATGATCTTATTAATAATTATCATTTGTCGATCGTGAGATTAGGCATATAAAATCTTAGCATGTGGTTTAGTGCTCAGTAAATGCTAGCAGTCTGTAATAATAAACATTATTAGTTAAGTGCATACTCTGTGCCAGGCATTTTATATACATGATCAGCAATTCTCACAGCAACTCTGAAGGGCAGATATGACTATTCTCATGCTCAGGTGAGGATATTGAGACCAAGAGAAGTAAAAGTAACTTGCCCCTGGAGCCACAGCTAGTAAGCGGCAGAGCCGGGATGTGAGTCCCACTCCATCTCTAAAAAGCTAGCTCAGGCAACAGAAAGAGAAGCAAGGGGAGGCTTGGAGAATTCGCACCCTTGGGGAACGGAACCCTCAAGGGTGTTGGAGAAGGAGTTCTGGGCGGCCCACCCAATGCTTTAGGCCTCGTGCACTCACCTGCCACAACTATTATGGGAAGCATCTCCTTGGAGGATAACAATGAACACCCGGTGAGGGTGGGGCTGGGGGAGGGGAAAGACAGCTCACACAGATGGTCTTCCTCCCAGCACTGACCTCGGCTGTACTGTGCAGGGTTTAAGCACAGAGATTCACCATGACCCAGAATGCTTTGCAGGAGTCACTACCTGCCTCAATCTCTGCAGTTTGCTGCACAGAGACAGTTTGTGAGGTGCTGCCTGTGGGTACTTCCTAGAAGGGACCATGTGACAAACTGAGCAGCTACTCCCTCGAGGGGGAAGGCAGAACAGGCCATCTTATTCTGAAGGATAGTGGCCGGGGTTCTGCCCACAGCAGGCACCTACCCTCCCAGCATGTGGGCAGGAAGGGTCAGAGGACTCCTCTAGCCTTCCTCCCCACCCTCACTAACAACCTCTGCCACCTCTGCACCTTCTACCCCCGGTGCCTTATCCTGGCTTATCGGATAAGAGCCCCAAGACTTGGCCATGGCAGAGAAAGTGCTACATGGGCCTTTGTGGTCATAGCGAATGGGGGAGGTGTTGCGCATTCAGAACTGGGGACTCGTCAGAATTCAGCTTGGGGGGCTTTCCGCCCCCGTCCACACCTCGCCATCCAATGAGCAGATGACACAGACACGACGCCAGGAGATGAACGAGATGCTCACGCCGACTCCCGGGGCTGCCTCCTGCTTCTGCACTTCCCGTCAGCTTGGCCTTGCGTCTGACCCCCCTGTGCCCTGAGCCTTCCTTCATCCATCAGAGAGAACAGTGTAGCAGCGAGGGTGATGCCCGTGTCAGGTGCCTGGGCCAGAGCGCAGCCGGCAGCCACTCTCCCGTGTCAGGTAGAGCGCAGCCGGCAGCCACTCTTTGAATTTGTGGCTCCTTACTGTCAGCTGAACCACTCTGCCAAGGAAAAATCCCTCCTGATTCTTTTCCACAAAAGCGCATGTAGTAGACTGATCTCCAGTTCTGGATGGAGCCTGACCCTGGGAGACCAAAGAACAAAAACCAGCTGTGAGCTGATGGGTGGAGGGCGGAGGGGACAAATGAAGAATGAATCCTTAGCCTCTGCAGAGACCCGCTCATCCCGTGGGTGCTTCCCTACGCTCAAATATCTCAAGTCCCTCTTCCAGCATTGAGGGGCAGGGCTTTGGTTTCATGTCTTGTTTCTGCTGGGCGATCCTACGTGTTGTTATCCCATTTACAGATCAGAGCACTGAGGCTCAGGGAAGCCACGGAATTACCCAGGGCCACAGAGCTCATCACTGGCTGCTCAGGGCCCTCTGGGAGCCTGAGAAGACATACAGATTGTGACAGATCGTGACTCTCCCCAGCTGGAGTCCTGTCCGAGGGTTCTGGTCTTCGTTCTTTCTCTCTGTGGAACATGAGGGCAGAGAACAGGGTCGATGTCTCAGCATAGTGAAGAAATCCAGAAAGTTACGAGTCAACTAGATGGCAGGGTGGCATCGAGGGAGGTTGCTGAGGATGACAACCGTGATTTGTTCTTGTAGTCACGTTTGGGAGAGTTCAGTGGGCAGACCATAGAGTCAAGGAAGAAAGCGACTGTCAGAGTAAGAAATACATCTTGTGCTGTGGCCTGGCCCTCCATGGGTCTCTCTCTCTCTCTCTCTCTCTCTCTCTAGATACATCTTGTGCTGTGGCCTGGCCCTCCATGGGTGTCTCTCTCTCTTTCTCTCTCTCTCTCTCTCTCTCTCTCTCTCTCTCTCTCTCTCTCTCCCCGACAAAAAGTCTATTCTTATTATAGACATCCTTATTATTTTCTATTTTATACTTAAATTTTATTTTGAAAAAAAAATAGTTGGTGGTATTTGCACTAATGGGTCATGATACACAGTTTGAAAGCACTGCCTTCCTTCCTGTGCCATTCCTCACACTCCAGGATGAGGCAGAGCAGCTCGGCCATGTGTATCTGCTTCTGAACAAGTGACCTGCGCAGGTGTCCCCCCGCCACACGTACACCAC